AGTTTACTCAGACCGGGGTATCGTTACCTCTAAGTGGTTGTTAGATCTGGGCAAGACTCAGTAGAAGAGACAAGTTTTGAGAAGATAAACTTAGGCACCCCTGTGGTGAGCTGGGTACTCTATCCCACAAGGTAGTATTAGTTAGCCTGAGCCTCTGACGAACCAGGACAGTAGGAGAGTGTCAGTAGGGTCCGCACATTGGTCCTCGGCGCCGTGATAGTTGCAGACTTAGGTTTGTACTGCTAGTCGTAACAACAGACAACAAACCAGCACAACTTTTCTGCTCGTACTACACTTTCTGCGGGGTGAGTATACGGTACCTCAACCAACTGAGGACAGTGTCAACTGTTACTTCAACTTCAAATATGAAGGTCAGTACAATGTCAACGGTTATGATTTGCTAGTTCGAGTAGAAAATAAACAGAGGAATGGAACTCGGTAGCTGTGAGTTTTGTAGGCAAGGGCCTGTAAGCTAAGCTGGCTGATACTGTCAGTATACCGGGTCAAATTGTGAGGTCCTCTGCCTCCTACCTTTGGTTATTAATGGAATTGAATTGTTAAAAAAAAAAAGAGAAAAATCGAAACGGTTTCTCCTCTGAAGGTGGTCTAAACACGGTCCTCCGCAGGTCGTTGACAAAAGGGTCACCGTTTAAGGCATTTGTGTACCCAACCTCTAAAAATGGGTCCGCTGCAGGCCGCTGAGAAAAGGGTCACCGCTTGAGGCATTTGGGTAGTCGACCTCTAAAAACGGGTCCTTCGCAGGACGCTCACAAAAGGGTCACCACTCACCGGTTGAGGCTTTGGGCAGGTAGCGTGAAAGCGGGAGCATGAAATTGAAAGTGGGAGCGCGAAACCAAAAAGCGGGAGCGCGAAAATGAAATTGGGAGCATGAAAACGAAAGCGGGAGCGCGAATTCGAAAACGGCAACGCGAATTCGAAAACGGGAGTGTGAACGTGGTGGCGCGGAAGTACCCGGAGCGCGCGAAAGGGAAAGAGGAGTTGGGCAGCTGGGGGAGCAGGCCAAGGAGTAAGAGTGAGTGAGAGAGAGAGAGAGAGAGAGAGAGAGAGAGAGAGAGAGAGAGAGAGAGAGAGAGAGAGAGAGAGAGAGAGAGAGAGAGAGAGAGAGA